AAGGATCCAGAGAGGAAATCAGGAAGGCAGTGGAGCCTGGTGGTCAGCTACAGCTCAGCTTCCTGTGCTTTTGTTTTAGGAGGGTCCAGCACAGGTAGAGGAGCAGGGGCTTCAGGCCATGCACCTCTCTGTTGGGGAAATGAAGTATATTATCAAGGAGAGGACAGACAGCAAGAGCTGCATGTGATTCTAGTGCTTGAAGTTTTTAAGGAGCCTACACATTGACAGCTGCAGTTGGTGAGTAGACATACTGGTTCAGGGGTGAGCTTTGCAAAGCACTAAAGCCCAGAATTACAACCCCTCTATCTTGGGCTTAAATGTACCTCCTAACCCATTCCCAAATTCATATTACATCTGAGTTCCTACAAACTGGTTTCTCTCTGGAGCTTCAGATTTAACTTTGCTGCCAGGATCCCAAGTTCTTCTTCTCACTCCTTACCTATCCCAGAATGAATGAATGAGTTCTGTTTATAGTGGACAGAACAGATGCTCTGGATGTTCCCTCCACTAATCAAAACCACATTTATTAAATGCCTTCAATATGTCAAGATCATTACGAGACATGGACAAGTCCTCAAAGAACTCATATTCCCTTAGGAATGAGATACAGAGATATAATACCTGGTAAGTAGTAACTATTAAGGTGAAAGATAATAAAGTATAGTTCCTACAGAATACTAAACCATTAATTCCTTTAGAGAGTATTTAGCAAGGTTTTACAAGATATATTTTACATTTAAGGTGATCTTTTTGTTGTTATATACCATATATATATATATATATATATATATATATATAGTTGTTTAGGAGTCAACAAAAAAATCACCTTAAATGTAAAATATATCTTGTAAAACCTTGCTAAATACTCCCTAAAGGAATTAATGGTTTAGTATTCTGTAGGAACTATACTTTATTATCTTTCACCTTAATAGTTACTATTTACCAGGTATTATATCTCTGTATCTCATTCCTAAGGGAATATGAGTTCTTTGAGGACTTGTCCATGTCTCGTAATGATCTTGACAGATTGAAGGCATTTAATAAATGTGGTTTTGATTAGTGGAGGGAACATCCAGAGCATCTATTCTGTCCACTATAAACAGAACTCAGAGGAGGTGGGTGCTCATTCACTCATTCATTCATTCTGGGATAGGTAAGGAGTGAGAAGAAGAACTTGGGATCCTGGCAGCAAAGTTAAATCTGAAGCTCCAGAGAGAAACCAGTTTGTAGGAACTCAGATGTAATATGAATTTGGGAATGGGTTAGGAGGTACATTTAAGCCCAAGATAGAGGGGTTGTAATTCTGGGCTTTAGTGCTTTGCAAAGCTCACCCCTGAACCAGTATGTCTACTTACCAACTGCAGCTGTTAATGTGTAGGCTCCTTAAAAACTTCAA